CAGCAGGAACCGCACCACCAAGCACAGAGCATGTGGTCACTCTAACATCTGGGAACCACCAAAATGCGTGTCCTTTCCTTGTGCTGCTTCCCAAATGCTTGTGCACACTATCCAGAACAGAGAAACTGTGGTTTTCGCTTGCAGGAAACCATTCAAACCTCAAAGGTCATGAACGTTCCTCAGTGCCTTGGCATGAGGAGGCTCCATCTCTGCATTTAACCACATTTCCAGAGATGCCAGTGCACTGGAGGGTTCCTCAGCCTCCCCCACCACTCCTTTCTCAAGGGCTCTGGGGCACACTTACTAGGCAAGATCCCCATCAGGCTCTGCAGGGCCTGCTCTGCTGCTGCTTTCTTCTGTTCCTCTGTCCTGGCTGGTTTAGGCACTGCTGGTAAAACTCCTCCAGGCCAGATGGATTCCTGCAGCAACTGGAGGTACTGGACCCAGCGCTGGGTGCAGGTCAGGTTAACCACTTGGACTTCCAGCCACCTGTGGGCACAGGGAGGGAGGGAAAGGTCAGGAAAAGTCAGGCTCCATACCAAGTCAGGAGCTTTCTGCCCATCAGAGACCCTGGAGGGAAAGATCAGCTTGCTGGGTGAGTACACATGAAGTTCCCAAGTCTGTAATTAAGTGTTTTCACAAGTATCAATTAGCTGAGTTTCCCTATGAATCAGAAATAGGTCTACATTCCCTATTTTAGAGAAACACATATGTAAGTCACAGAGGAAAAGTCATGAAAAGCTCCATTGCAGGAAATGAAACGAGTAATGGGTCCCTAAAGGGAACACAGCTAAGGGACATGACTGGCCTTAACCTCCTAAGCTAGGTCCACTCACAAGCTGAGACAGAGCTGGAAGAACCAATAAAACTGATGTTTTAACTCTAAAACACCCCCTGCGACCAGCTGGAAGGACAGGAGCATGTTCTGGCAAGCAGTGCGCCCCTCATCAGCCCCTCTGCTACCCAAAGAGTCAAGGGTGTCTCACCTCAGGACCAAAACACACACACCCAGGATGGCAAGACCCAAATATCCTGCTGCGTTTGTTCCTCTCACCCCCCTGCTTCCCGCCCCTGCTCCGTCCACCGGTGGCAAGCAATGAAATCATTGCCTCCCCATCCAAAACCCTGCGCTGCACATCTATTAAAAGGAAAGTCAGGTACCTGCCAACAAAACTGCTGGTCAGCCCTCCTTCTGGGCCAAGACCGTGCCCTTTATACAGGAACCTGCAAATCCCAAGGCCACAGGAATGCTGCTCCACATAAGGGCGTGGAGGCATTTGCAGCCTGTGTGGGGGAGATGTGTCCACACCACCCAAGCGCTCGCCAGGGGAAGTTTCTAAATCAATCACGCAGACCTTTTTCCCAGACGCGAAATCACTTCCCCGTGCGATAGCAAAGGCCACGGCCTTCAGTCAAAATGCGCTGCTGCCTAAAAATCTTCCCTCTCTGGAATAAGGAGAGGCCAGTGGATGATTCCCGGGTGCCACAGAGCTCAACAGGAGGGTCCCCATAAAATTTAGCAAAAGCAGGGCTCGGCAATGGCCCACTGATGCTGTCCTCATCAGCAGAAGGCTCTGGAGGAAAGAAGGGAGCATCGGGCCAGCGTTGGGGTAGGGAGAAGGCCTGCAATTTTGCCAGTACTTCCAGAGTCCCAGAGGAGAGGAGTCCGCAAGCAGGGCCAGGAGACCCGTTCCTCTTGGCAGCTGGTGTTCGTGCTTGCAATTCCGTCACCACTACGCCCCGGCAGCTCATAGTACATCCAAGAGCATGGGCCCTGCCAAGGCAAACTTTATTTAACCTGCGCTCTGCCAGACTGTCTGCATTCTTCTCAGGCGAGGCATTCGGGCCAAGGGTGTCTTTCCTCACACAACCAGGACAATGTGAAAAGAGAGCCGGGAATAGCAACACCTAAAAGGTGACCAGGGGCAAAGGAACAGCAGGTAGCCGTCATCGGGACCAGGGCTGCAAGATGATGCTCCCTTCTTCAGCACGAAGCAAGATGCTTAGCTGCAGGCCTTTGAATGCACGCCTAGGAAACACCAGCTGAAAAAGCAAAGGCCATTACAAACCCCCTGAACACGAGCCTTGGTGCAGCAACAAGGCCTGTTATGTCTCAGGGCAAGGTCTTACTGGAGCATGGGCAATACTCCTGGTGATCCCAGTAACAGCACTGGAAATGGGGAGACACAGCCTTTACGCTCAGCCTTGCCAGGGACCTCAAGTATCCGTGTTGCTACAAGGTAGTTCCGGAGATCCAAAGTGTAGCATCTACCTGGTTTAGAGAACAAAATGTCACAGCACAGCCTTGCCTGGGAAAAGGCTTTGTCTGAAATACAAGTGCTTAAAAGGGTTTTTATCTGCAGCCATCAGCAGAGTTTAACACCCTGGATCAAGTTAAACCCTCCAGCCATCCCCAACCAAATCAGTGTTAAACTGGGGCTCCTCTAGAGGAAAGAGCTTTCATTAACATGGTTTTTCATTAACATGTTCTCTTATATAACCTGCTTTCCTAAAGTTGCAGAAGACCGTCAATGGATTTTTTTTAACTGAGCCTGGCAGCTCATCACCTTCCACTTTGGGATGCAAAGGGCAGGGTGTGGGAACGGCTCCGTTGGTGCGCTGACGCTTGCTACAGCTTCCTGGAAGCTCCTCAGAAGAGGCCAACTTCATCCCTACGAGCTCCTGAGAAGCAGCCAACATGCCCCATTGCAGGGTGCTCAGACAGGGATACTCACTACTAGGAAAATGGGAAGAGGCACCCAAATCCACAGAGTGTACAAAAATAGAAGGAACTAGACAGGAAAGGGGACAAGAAAGAAGAAAGTGAAACCAAAGCTGGGTGCAAATGGAAGACTAAAGCCACTGTGCTCTGGATTCCCTTTTGCCAGTCTATCAGTGTGGGGACCCATCCCAAAAGCTCTGGGAAGAGAGGAAGTGTGGAGACTGGTCCATGTGGCTCAGCATCCTCACGGGGAGAGCAGCTGATGCCCTCAGATACACCGAAAGAAAACATGAAACCAGAGTAACCTGCCGGTCAGTTAATGGTGAGGAGTGGAGTAAGTCCGCAGCTCTCACAGCTGCAGTTGTAACTCCAGGAGGGTCACACCAAGCCTGATTGAAAAATCCTACCTGAGTAAAACCCAGATTTCGATGGCAAACTGACCTTTCCATCAGGCAGGCTTGCTGCACCAGGATCGGGATGAGCAGCTCACACTTCTCACACAGGAACTCGGAATATGCACTGGTCCAAAGCTGACCTTCGCCAGCAGCTCACAGATGATTTTTCATACTATTAAAGGACTAAGCATTTGAGATCCATGTGCCACATCAAAAACACATACACGTCTTCTCCCAGGTAGAAATAACTCCAGCAAGAAACACAAATAGACCTATCTTTTTTTTTTTTTTTCTGGATGGCTGATGAGTTACTATTTCCATTCTGCTATTTCATGAAGAAATAGCCTTAATAAGAAAGAAAAACAAACCCATCACTGAACCATCTCCTTACGCTTCAGCTGAAACCAGAAATAGATAGAAAGTGACCTCCTGGGTTCAGATGTCCAAATGCTTCGATAATGCCCAACGCAAAGAGACAGACTGCAAAGGCTACGACGTACTGGACGTTAGTCTGGAGGTGCATAACTTGCCCATGCTGTAAGGGTCCTCTGTCTGAAATAGCTGCTGATGGAGGAATGAAATGGCTGCTAAAAAAGAGCTGATTTAATGCCACAGCTTAAGCTGGAACTCCAAGGTCAGCTGAAGGGACCCATTAAGATAGGAACGGCAGAAATGCCCTGGGAATGAGAAACAAGGCTTGGGGGGTACATACCTTAGCCCTCCTCTGGCACCCAGATGCTGGAAGGGCTGCTAAGATGGAGACTAAGAGTCAGGAATTGGCAAAACACAGTGGATGGACTTGGTTTTACCTGGATCCTGCAAGCTGGATGCACTCGCTTACAGGGATGTGGACTACCTGAAGGGTTTACCTGCAGGCAGAGCTCAGCTCAGCAAGGAAAGGTTGGACAGGTTGGATCTGCTTAGTCTGGAAGATAAAGAGGCCACATTAAGAAGACGACAAAGACAAGAAAGCCTCTACTAGTCTGCTTTAGCTTTATAAATACAAATGGCTCTATAAATACACCTGAGCTGTACATAACAGTAGCAAGTCCAGTCCAATTTCTACTACTTTCTGCCCCAGAACAAGGCCTCCGCTTCCCTGAGGTCAGTTAACACAGTGTGGCTAACCAGAAGCTCAAAAAAGGCCCGTGAGACTGAGGTAGTGAAAAGGATTTCAGAAAAAAAGCAACATCTGGAAATGCACAAGGCATTCAAGCATCTGACTTATGAAATCAAGAAAGGCTGGTACTTACATCACCAGACCATCCCTCCCTTCGCAGTACTTGTCCCCCAGATTCTTCCCCAAATTGTGCCTCAAACACAAGCATACCCTTAACTCGAGGGTTCAGGAAGAGCAACATTTCAGCGCTCTGACTGTAAAACTTTCCTGAGTGAAGCTTGTAAAACCAAAGAAACAGCTGCAGCGGGCGCAGTTAGAATGGAAAAAACACAAATGGAGAGTTTTTGCCCCCAGGCTCGGCTTTTAGCACCTGCTCCTTGAGCCCACGTCCACCTTCTCCAGGCAGCCGCCAGCAGCAATGCGTGCAGCCGACCGCTGGCACGCTGGGCTCGAACACCTTCAGGGTCGGCCACGCTTGTCCAGGCCATCAGCAAACCCTTCGCAGAGGAAGGAAACAGGAAAGAAAATTCAACAAAACCCTCCATAAATCAAAGAATACGATGCATCTCAAGTCCTTTTAAACTTCTGGCCAAAGACACACACGTAAAAAGTAAACTATCCTTCTCTCCTTACTGGAAATGTTCTCCTGCTGCCCTGTAAAACGTTTACAGTTGTATATGCTATGAACAATACGTCCCGTACCCCTGCCCCAGCGTACGGTAATGAAGTGTTTGACCAGCCAGGCAGCAGTCCCCGTGGCCGAGTGCCTTCCTCTCGAACAGAGTGTCTTGCCAGCCTTGCACCTCCCCGGCACAGCTTTGCTGAGGGCAGTCACACCCAGGGCAAGAGAGAAATCAAGCTGCAAGGTAGCATTTGCAACCGATGTGTCTTGGTTAGAATTACCCACGCCAAAGGCTTCCCAGTGCAGGGAATTGGGATTTTTTGGGCCCAGTAAGAAGTGGAGCTGGCAGAAGCCCTGAGAGAAGTGGGTTTGCAGGACATTGTGCTGTGGGGCAGAGAGATCATCCCCGACTACCTGTAGGCATGAAACCATAGCCCGGAGCTGGGATTTGGGGCACAGCTCTGCAACACTAAGTCCTGCTCCCTCCAAAACACACCTGCTGCAAAAAGAATCCATGGAAACACACAGAGCTCCAACTCCAACATCCTCTCCTCCTGGTGAATTAACCGAGCTGCTCTGTTTTTTAGCTTTTCTCAAGTCAGAGCTCCCCGCGACATCGTGAGGCTCAGA